ACTGAGTTGCCGCCATGTAATTGGCTGATTAGAAATTAAGTGTTAACGAGCAGTTGGACAGGTGTACCTAATAAAGTGGCCGGTGAGTGTAGTTCCCAGAGATCCATATTCTGTCCTCTTTATTGATACAATGTGCCCAGGTGTCCATCATGTTTCATATAATTTGCTACGGTCTGATACTCCCGAGTGCATTTACTCAGTAGGATTGACTGTACAACATATTAAAAACACTGTATTACATATTATTACTGTTTTAACTAGTTTTTTTTTTGCATTTTCTCTCATGAAACACAAAAGTAACTAAAAGTCTCATGTTTTACTTGCTGATCACAATAATCTTTATTCCAAGAGCTCAAAAACAGTCGTACATCGATTCAACAAACGCACACAGAAAAGCTATTTTACATTGTGTGTATGTTTTTACAGTACTACACATGTGCTGGCGACACTTTTATTATTGGGGTAATTTCACACCAGGTGCAAAGATAACTCGCTTTTCCCTCGAAGCAGTTATCAGGTGGTGTTGACATCACACTGAGATGATGCTGTTTTCAGCTGAAAGGATGAAGCAGCAAACTCAACGACAGGAAAAACATAAAGCTCGGCGGACAAAACCCGTCTCACAAACCAAAGTGAGAAAATAATAACAATTGTGCAGAATATGACGTTAAACTCGTATGTCAACATGACAGTTTCAAAAACCTTTCACAGAAAGGGAAGAAAGTGCACTGATATGTGGTCAAAAAACATGGAGGTAGAAGCTTTTTATGACAAATAACAAAAAAGGCTGAAGCTCATAGAAATGGGGCGACCAAGGAAAACCTGAACCCTTTTCCCTGACAGTAAGAAGGGCTCTGGTGGCTGTTTTAGGCATTTTGCATGCATGACTTGGGTCCACTTGTAAAAAGTATTAAAAAAATACTGGTGCAGTAAAACAGTATCAGCTGACCGTGACTCTTCAGATTTCTTTTGATTCATCTGCAACACTTTTTTTCTTWTAGCCACACAGATTCCGAAGTTGCACACTGACAGCACATGATATAAAAGAAGTAACCAGGACATTTTTTTTTTTGGTTTTATAAAAAGGCATTTGCATGGCACTGCGGATACAAGGAACCTATAATCTACACGGTGCAGGTGTCACTTTATATTAACTGTTCAAACATATGGATCAGGCGAGTACTGACTTGAAATTCTAAACAGATCTGTCAGTAATTCATTTAAAGTTCCACTTTAGAGCATCTGTGCAGTGTATGAGCTGTACACGATGTCTCCGTGTATTCAAGCCTCCCGAACGTCTCTAAAGGCACTGTGGACAAGCTACGCTTCAGTTAGCCACCAAATCTATCCATAACGGGGGGGGGGGGGGGGAAATAATAATTTTAAGATATTTCTTATTTTTTTCCACAATTGATTCCGTATATCACCTTTTCCATGTTGGAGACTTCCTAAATAAAAGCAGACAGCGTCAGTAGAACTCAATCAGATACTCTGGGTAAATCTGATTGCTGTCAAAGATGACGTAAATCTTTGGATTGGCCATATCGTCCACGCAGCTGTCGAAAAAGTTGGTGAAGCTGGCATCCTTGGAAGGGGGTCTGCAGTACATGGGATGACCGACGGTGTACTCTCCAACAAGCACCCTGGCCAGGAACATGGTCTTGTAGGGCGGCTCGTTGGCGAATATGGGCGGTGTGAGTCCGTGTCTCTGCAGGGTGGTGTTGTGTTTCCCTGTCGTGTGGCAGAATTTACTTGAGTATTTGGCATCCCGGGCAAAATAGCTCCCTGTGGGGCAAAGAATTGAAGGAGGTGTTAGAAGGTAGACAGATAAGGCAAAGGGAATTCTTTCTTCTTTGTTACACCACAACACAAAGGAATGTACCTTTGCCATAAACATCGCCATGACTTCCTGTCAGCCGCCAGTCAAAGTTAAATGTACATATAGCTTGTATGTTGCTGTGTCCTGTACCATGAAACAGCATTCGCTCCTCAATATCCAGAGTTCGCTTGACTTTTCGCAACTGTGTTTTCTTCCTTAGGGGAGAACACAACACAGAGGATCATTCTGTTTTGGTTTTTCCTTTTGAACAAATTATAAGACCTAAAGTTTTTTTTAATCAACCAAGGGAAACTCTGTGTGGGTCTGTATTTTCCTCCACAGTGTCTGACTGGCAAGTTCAAATAAATTTAACCAGTACATGAAACAAAAAGAAAATCCTAAAAAAAAAAAAATCAAACCACAGTCACTGCAGAACCCAGAAACTGCAGAGCTGGATCAGATTTATACATCACATCACTGCTTTACCTGCAGAAAAACTCCCATAAGTCCAAGTTCTGAATCCTTTGGATGGATTTGATCGGATGATCCATTGTCCTTTCATACAGTCTGCCAACTTCTTTAAACTCATATGTGTCTCTGCTGAGCTGGATGAGCTGCAAAAAACACAATCGCATGAACGAAACAGCAGCAAACAAATGGATTTGTATTTGATGGACTAAAGAAATAAGATAAAAGAAATAATAAAAGGACTCAGGTATGGACAATCTTCCAATAGAAAAAAATCCAACCTGGAGTATTAAGCAAGATACTTTTGTATACTTTCTGCACATATGTGACCCATCACATCGAAACAAGGATTAAGTCCAAAAGCTGTACATGGAGAAAAAGGCAAATATGGTGTTTTGACTAAAATGTTAACAAAAATTGCATTTTGTCAAAATATAATGAATTATTAATGTATCATTTGAATGAATTGTCTGAAATATAATCATAAAACAAAATTTTGAAGCACTTTTTTGTGCAGTAGCAACAAAAAAAAACCCCCAGATTTTGTGGAAAAACACCTTTAAATTCTGAGATTTTCCCTGTGAGCTAGCAAAGTTTTGTTTATTTTTAGCTGTGAAATCTCAATATTCAAATATAATTTGAGGTTTCCTCTTTATAAGGACATCAAAAATTCCTCATTAAAATGACATAAAATTAGGATTCAGACCAAATATTTATGTATTATTGTAACCAACAAGACAAATTAAGTATATATATGGATTTAATTATATCAGAATGATCCAGGTATCAAAATGTAGCTTTTAAAGCCAAGAATCTGAAAATGTAATTAGGTCATTTTGACCAAATTTGACTTAATCCTCATTTCGATATGATGGGTCACGTATTTACCGTTCCTTAATGTAATTCAGATTATACTTGGGGAGGTGTGGTAGCTCAGTGGTCAGTGCTACGATCTTGTAATCCTGAGGCTGCAGGTTTGAGCTCAGGTTGCGTCAGGATAGGCATTCGTTGTAAAATATTTACCAAATTCTATGTGAGTTTGCTTGTTGTGGTGACCTTTGTAGGAGGTATTTTATGTTCTCTGGTTAAATAAGAATAAATAAAAATGAGGAGGAGGTTTTGTATTATTTTCTGGAGCACAAAGTGTTTTTGCATCACATGTTCAGTCTTTTTCACCCTTCTAACCTGCCTGTGGGACTCACCTGATAGGGCTCGTCTGTGTTGATTCTTTCCCAGTGACAAGGAACAGGCAGGGCCAGATTATCACAAATAAACCTGGTGAAGGATAAGAAGTTTCAGGAGGTTAAAAAAAATTGCACAAATAAAAAGTATCCAATTCTGTTTTAGAAATTCTTTCATTATTTCACCAGCAAGGCGTCAGCTTTACCTCCAACTTAAACTTTCTCTCTAGCGTCTCTTATTTGATCGTATGTGATACTTCAATCATTAAATCATACCTGAAGCCAGTCGCTGAGTGCAGGGAACGTTTAATTGGCCGCTGTTTTCCTGTTGTTACATTGATCTGTCGCATAGCTGGAGAGAAAATGAACAAACATTAGAGCTACACGAGCTCTAGATGTTTTTCCAGCAAAAAATGTTTTTACTGGAATGTTTGTTAAAAAAAGAATAAATCGCGGTTTTTTTTTGGTTTTTTTTGCCTGAGTGATTAACTTTATTTTTTTTTAATGCTTCAGTACCTGAGAAGTCCAGTCTGTAGGTATACTTGGCCGTGTAGAACTCCATGACTCCACGCTGGTTCCTGTTGTAGCACTGCTCAATCTGGGCACTGGTTACTGAGCAGGCTGCACTGGGATCAATCTGACAAACATTTTTTATAAGTCAATCCACTATGATATAATATATAAGCGAATACAATAATAACTTAAACCTAAACATATGTTTCCCTGCTTCAACATGACGAAGCAAAGAAACAACTAAAACATGCAGGACAGTGGGCTATGACATTGTAAATATTTAAGATAAACCTTAATGAAAGTTTTGTTTTTAAAGTTTGAAATGAAACAGAAATAAAAAAAAAAAGGAAAAATCTATACTTGGACCTGAACCAATACTGGGCTGAGGTCTGTAACAACAGTTTAGCTTTCAGAGCATTTAAAGTTGCAAAATTTGAGTGACAGATTTCACAAGTTTTCTGACCCAAATGAAAAGCTTGTAATATTGTATGAAAGTGTTTATTTAAAGTTGTGGTTTGATGCGAACTACCTCAAACATGTGCCACACGCCACACTCAGCCAAGTAGAACCAGCACCAATTTGGCTCGGAGGTGTCCATCTCCTCATTCTCAGTGGACTCCTCCTCTGACGATCTGATGGCTAACATTGCTAAAACTGATATGACAGAGAACACACAAACACAATTAAAGGTAAATTATTACTTAAACACATCAGGGAATAATGAGAGGGCTTGTATTTAATGACAATGGTCGAAAAAAAAACGTAAAGTTTATGTGATGCACAGTTATGACGGCATGTCATTTTGTAAATATATATAAACAACACAGACAGTGGCATTTCAAGCTAGCTCTGCTTAGCAGCAGCTTCTGCACTCCGCTTCCTGTCTGTTCTGCGGGTGTCTTACCGGCTTTTAGCCCCCCTCTAACTGGGTCGTCCTCGTCGGAACATAAGGCTTTTACACATTGTTAATAACGCACAAACAAACCCACTCAAACTGTGTGCATTTGGGTGACTAAATAGCATTTTTCTCCTCCTCTGGAGCGTTGTTTACTTTTAATTCCGGAATCGACACGTAACTTGCGTCAATGCGTCACTCAGGGGGAACAAAACGCCCATTTAATGGGAAAGGGCCATTGACGCCCTGAGTTTGTCCTGTCAGGCACACCGTCGCTGCAGAAAAACAACGCTTTATTATAATTCGAAAACACATTTTAAACTTTGCATTGTTTGGTTATAGTTGTTTTAGTTTTTACAGTTTGCTGTGTTGCAGAACCCTTGCATTCTATCTGTCATGAGACAGCCCCAGCGTGTCCTGAAGGACGCGCCCCTGTTTAAAATGAAGGCTGCGCTTCTAACTTCTCCCAGACAATCAAGAGATTAAAGACTGACGGAGTCCAAAACTGTGGTGAGTAACAAGGGGAAACTTGCTTTTGCAGACTAATTACTACAAAGACTTTGCAAAATTTGTTAAACTCCACAACAATTATCTGGAAATATCTTAAATGTGGATTGCCAATTATGTAATTTCTGAAAGAGCAAATGATTATCTAAGTTTAATTATTGGGTTAAGCATGACAGTCATTTAAAATGTAAAATATTTTCATATATTTATATGTGAGAAATGCAGCTGCATGGAAAGCACCGTTTGATATATTTGTCTTGAATAGCCAGATCATGACTGAAGAAGCCAATACTACYAAAGCGGAACCACAAGAGGGGACTCTGGCAAGGGAGAAATGGGCCAACAACATGGAGTTTATTCTCTCTATGGCAGGAGAAATAATTGGCCTGGGAAATGTCTGGCGTTTTCCCTATTTGTGCTACAAGAATGGAGGAGGTGAGGTGCTTCATTTGACACTCATATACACCACTTTTACTCATCTGCATCTGTGATCAACAAATGACTAAGATTCGTATAGGGAAATGTATTACAGGCTGTCAAAAATGACATATTTTGCTTTTTGTGACTTAATGGTAACAAATTTAAAAAAACGTTCACATCCCCATCTTAAGAAATATTACTTTTCTTTTTAAATTGCTAAGTAGGATTTATATGTTTGCATTGGGAAAGCAAAAATAACTCGGAGATTGATTATTATTATTTTTTTTAATATTAGGTGTCTTCCTCATCCCCTACTGTGTGTTCCTCTTCTGCTGTGGTATCCCTGTGTTTTTCCTGGAGACTGCATTGGGCCAGTACACCAGTGAGGGCGGGGTAACCGCCTGGAGGAAGATTTGCCCCATGTTCGAGGGTAAAACCAAGGTTTCAGACATAAAAGACGATCAGTGCTAAACAATATCTGCTTTGTGTACCCGTCGCTAAGCTTGTTCCTCATAGTATCCAGACAAAAATCAGATAAAATGGGTCTTTTGTTTGCAAAGATGTGTCAAACATTGATGTCTAGAAAACTTAAAATGCCATAAAACTGCTGCATCTTATGCAAACCAGACCGCTGCTGATCAGATCTATTATCCAAGATAGCAGCCAGAAACTTTCACTAACTGTGTGAAAACCTTTCACAGGGGTGGGGATCGCATCCCAAGTGATAGTGATCTACTTAAACATTTATTACATCATAGTTTTGGCTTGGGCYATTTTCTACCTAATAAACTCCTTCAAAAGCCCTCTGCCGTGGTCGACATGTGACAACTGGTGGAACACCGGTAAGCCTCCTTTTGTGACTATTAAACGCTCTTCCTTGAGGCATATTTGTATTTTGTTATGGAACAAAGTTGTAGAAACTTTTCTGAGGGGTTTAACTTTTTGTTCAACCCCAACAGAATTATGTTTTGGTCGCATTGGCCTTTATGCCAACCCTGAGCTTTTTCAACCTGGATCCAACTGGTCCTTCCTGCACAACATCACCTCAGATGACTACATGACAAACTACAGTTACATGTGAGCTGAATCCTTGTGACTTTTTGTAATYMATGACTTGATGACAGGTACATAATTCTTCCTTTTATTGATGAGAACTATAAAGAGGATTATAAGAAGGATGGGAGCTCTTTGTCTGCAACTTGGGACTTTATCAGTCCTTTTATGTGCACAGYGCAGGAAGCACCCACATCTGCTTTGTTTCTAAAACTGTAATGTGACCCTGAGAGTAAAGAGCTTTAAAGTGTTTATAATAAATTTACAGGGCTTGTCAGGGCTTGGTTTGGAGGTTGTGTAGAACTATCAAATGATAGAAGAAACACTTACTGTTGTATATGCATCTAACCAATGCTAAACTGCTTTATAGGGATAGGAAATTTAAATATGTTTACTTTTCCTTATTCATATCTTTTGTTCATTCAGCAATGAGACATTACTGACAGCCAACTCACCTGAAGAGGAGTTTTGGAGGTGAGGCGCACACTCACACCAGATGTTTTGACTCCATCTGCATGCATGTCTTACAGCCAGTTACTTGTTTATGCTTTATTGCTCAGACAAACCGGCAGTAATTGCTTCAAGCAGTGTCTCCAAAGTACAGTTTTAAAAATGGTTCAGAATGACATTAAAATGCAGCAAAAGCTTGAAATAAAAACGTTGCACATTTTTGTAACTTTAACCATTTAGTTTAGAGCTTAAACCTGTTCACAAGTGGACGCATGACGGAGTGTTGACAGGATTGTATGGGATATGTCCTGAGCTGAAATCTTATGTCCAAAAAAAGGACTTTTTTTTTTTTACATTATCTTGTTCCAACTTATCTAAACCTGTTTCACGCACATACAGTATGAGTTCTGACTCTGACAGCTTGTCTTCCTCCCCGTTTTGAACGGCTCTAGGGGTTGGACATTCCTTCCAAACAGCGTTGATTCTTCCCAGATATTAGGAGTTCAGCTAAACTCCCCAAAAGTGCTCAATTAACATGATGGGCCAATAAAAGATGAAGGAAAGTCACCCAAACACAACAAGGAGAACGAGTGGGATGCATTCCTCTGAAAACCACAAAATGTTATCCATCGTCTAACTTTGACTGAAACATGCTCTCCTTCACATTTGTTTTTGTTTTTAATGTAAGTAGTTACTGCTGCTTTTCACATGATGATCTCCTGATTCAGTGTTGGAGCACATACTGTGAAATCCAGCAGTGATGATGTAAAAAATATGTTGCCCCCTCCCCTTGCAAGTGCAAACTGAAATCTTTCAAAACAAACATATTGAACCACTGGATTTATGATAAAACGTTTGGAAATGACTTCTCATTGTCAGGAATAAATAAATGGAAGCTTCAGACAGAAAAGWGACTTATGTATTATCACATGAATCCATCCAAATGAAGCATTTCTTTTTCTACTCCTTGCAGGTTTGAACGTGACTTTTTTTTTTTCTAAAATGGGGCTTAATGACTCCCATTATTATTTTTCTTTTCCCACACAGGAATCGAGTGCTAAGAATGTCGGCTGACATGTCTCTGGGTAAAGTGCACTGGGACTTGGCTCTGTGCCTGATGTTTGCCTGGGTGATWTGTTACTTTTGCATCTGGAAGGGAATTAAAACCACTGGAAAGGTAGGTGTCGTTKCCCAGGATGTGGGAACTCTCCCCTGACACTTTAAAGCCTTCAATCAATTAAATAAATAAGGATTGAGACAATTTCCAGAAACAAAACTAAACATAAAAACAATTATTAAACTTTTTTTGGCAAAGTTGTCATGAAAGCTAAACTGTATTTTTATTAGACAAATCATTTAATGGTGAGTTTTGTCGTTATAACCCTTACTTAACTGGCCAAACTGTGTTTGCATACTTTAACCAAAAAATAGTWGGGGTGACAAGTTTCTGCAGCTGTTTTGTTATGGCTCAATCTGAAATGTTTGGCAACCATATTAAAAACATTTCAGACTAGCTTTGTGTGTGAAAAGGCATAAAACAAAAAGGAACAAGAAAAGTTTGAAAATGTAAGCGTTGTTTAATGCACAAAAAAAGAAAAAAAGAAAACGGGAAGGATTTAGGCTCTTAAAAAGGTCATGTAAGTTTTATTTTTTTGTAAATGTCTTATTTATTCATTAGTAGTAGTTCTCTCTGCATTAAATAATTTTAGGAATAACTGAAAACATTTAAACTAATTGTAAGTACGTTTCATGTCGTAATTATTCATGTTTAATAATTTGGTTTGTTGCAACAACTAAGCAGACAAGTCCCTTCTAGTAAAAACTGTTTGACCTGAGGGCAAAAAACTGGAAAAAAAAAGCTATGTAACTGGCTTTAACTGTCACTACTGCAGTTAATAATTTGAAGTTAAAAATTTATATTTTGTCAGTGGAATGCTCGTGTGTCTCTTCAGCCTCTCTCAGTTCACTCTTATGTAACTTCAACCAAAAGGGACACTGATGTCATGTTCCAAATGAAATTCCTAAATCTTTTTTTTTTTTTTGCTGATGTTCCTAAAAACCTGTCTGCATGAAAGTATTTACTTGTTTGTTTATAGGTGGTGTACTTCACCGCCACGTTCCCCTACGTAATGCTCTTCATCCTCTTCATCCGTGGAGTGACGCTGCCTGGAGCTGCAGCCGGCCTGAAGTTTTACCTCAACCCAGACTTCAGCAAACTCGCCGACCCAGATGTAAGAGGCGCTCGTTAAAATGAATTGCCTTCATAAACCGTGTTTAGGTTGTGGTGAGATACAAACTCACTGTATGGTCTTTACTGCTGAGGAAGACGTAAAGTATGCACCCACACTCTGCAGCRAAGCATTCTTTTTCCAAACACAACTCTCTTTGTTGAAATCATCTGAGCCATTTGCTATTTTGTAATCTTCTACCCCCCCCCCCCTCGCCGCCCTGTTTTTATCTACTTGTTGACTTTTGCTTCTAGTTTCAAAGTATGATCCTAACAAGAAAAGCAAACAGACATGTCTCATAAAGTATACAGCAACATACTACTCTCTGTGGGGGAATTCTTAGACAGTTTGAGGTCTTTATGCATCTATCACCTATCCTGAATCAAAACCTGATCAAACAGACATCAGCACTGAACAGTAAGGGCTTTATTAAAGCCCAAATCAGGGTGGAAAGTGATTTAAAGTGTTTCTAACAAGTTTAGAATCAAACCATTTTGATCTGAYAACAACCTCTCTCACATTGACACTGATTTGATCGAAGCATTTGAAGAGAAAAATTCTGCTCTCTAGGAAAAACAATAAGTCAAACKTTTTCAAGGTGGAAAAATGCTTTCAGAGGAACAAGACCACAATGAAACATTAAGTCTAGATTTATGTTTTTGATGAAGGAATAACAAAGCACAACCCCTGTCGCCCCAACTTTATTTACAAATTTATTCCTTGTAAAAATAATTTCAGGTCTCTACCATTTCATCAGAAACATTGTTCTGTATGAAATCTGCTTCAGTGTACTTTTAATTGTTAGCTGTTATTCTGCTACTTTTAACCAGAGTTGTAAAGTAACTAAGTACAAATACTTTCTTACTGTACTTTAAGTAGAAATTTTGGTTATCTGTACTTTACTTGAGTAATTATTTTTCAGCATACTTTTTACTTTTACTCATTACATTTTTACACAATTATCTGTACTTTCTACTCACTACATTTTTTAAAAATATAAGAAGTAGAAAGTCGTTACTCCTATTTTATTCTGAGTTGTTATTACTTAAAAAATATTATCCTGATAAATTGTGTCTCCTGGACAGAGTGAATTTAAGTGTAGTTGGATGAGAAGTATAAATAAATACCATTCTGACACACTATTAGCTTGTACACAACCCATCACAGCTGCACGCTGTTAGAAAAAATATTTTTGGAGAAGTCACCTCCCAATATATGTCATTTTGGAAAATCTAACTGCTCACTTTTACTCAGTACTTTTACTTTTAATACTTAAGTAGATTTTGTGTTAAGTATCAAAAGTAAATTTCTAACACAAAATCTACTTAAGTATTAAAAGTAAATTTCTAAGTACAAAAAAATATCAGATACTTTAAGATTTTTACTCAAGTAATATTTTTAGAG